TTGGGGTTTTGGGAAAGGACTATGGAGGACAGGTGCAAGTTCATTGGGCACTTCCACTTCCAAGTCAACTAGAGTAACTCGATCCTTACGAGATCACTTCTCCTCTACCAAGGGACAGGGTGATCCTTTCCCACAGATAACAGAGCTGGGTCCATCCTCTCTGGTGGAGCCCAACTACACTGCTGCAGCACTCTGTTTTTAAATATGCGTCCTTTTCTACTTGCCTGTGAGCCCCTTGAGAGCAGAGACCACCTGTCAGCATAGAGCCTGGCATTTGGTTACCATGTGATGAATGGTTTTGAAATGAATAAGTGGACTTGAAGTAAAAAGGATCCGGAAACCACATTAATATTGTATATTAATAGAATAGGAACTTTTTAACTAAATGATCCTACGGTTGCTGACTCCACTGACAAGTAATTTGGAGCACCTACAGAGTTACATGAAGACATTTTTGACATGGGTTTTGTTCTTAGTTAGAAGGAGAGATTAGGTCATCTGAAAGGCTTTCTTTCAGGTTTCGTCTGCGAACCTGAACACTGAATGATTAATGGAATATCTGGAAACTGCGATTTCAATAACTTATAAAAAAAATCTAATGATTTGATATCAAGTTAATCATGGAGATATTGGAGGCACAGAGGAGATTAGAGCTGAATAAGAGATTCTATCAGGGTCAATGACAAATCCAGCTGCTTCCCACATTCAGAAGTTTCTGCTTGGATTCCATCAGAAAAATGAGTGGGTATGGCAGGAAAGTTAGGGTAAAATGTATTGCTTGAAGGACCCTCGTAAGGAGAGTTCACACCTCTTTCCATGACATACTGCCTTAGGAATAAGTGTTCTGACGATGTGGATTTCAATCTCGAATGCTACCACACTGGAGGGAACGTTCTTCACCTCCACATTGGGGTAGAGAGCTACTCTGGGAACTTGGCCATGAGACACCTGGAAATTTCTTTCATCCATAAACATTTATCAAGATTTGAAGATCGCAAGCTCTTACCACCTGAAATGAGTTATTAGAAGGCATGTCTACAGATGGTCTCTGGGGTGCACTCATGGTAGTAAAAAGGAGCATGGGAACTGGAGTCAGAGTGTCTGAGTTTAAATCTCGCTTTGGGACTTGAGGCAATTCACATCTCCCGAGGCTCAGCTGACTCATACCCAAATGGACACCATCCTCCTTCTCACTGGGCTCTGGAGGAGACTGCCTTCCCTAATGTAGATGATGCACCTAGCAGTGGGCTGGCAACATGTCAAGCACTCAGGATATATTAGTTGCCCCTCTTCCTTTCTGAGTGATGATTTGTTTACTGGGAAGAAAACAAAACGCAATACCTAGTACTCAAGGAATTTACAATATAGTCGCAAAGGCAAAGGTTATACCTACAAAAGATATATAGCTATTCCTAACTGGGTAAGATAAATACCTAGCTGATGGTATGATCCGCAGTGCTATGAGTGTAAAAACAAACTGACTATCACAGGAGAAGGTAGCAAGGAAGAGGCAGAATTTGAGCCAGATCTTTGAGAATGGTGGGATGAGATGGACAGAGAGGAGTGGGTAGAGCCGGTCAATCCAGACAGAAATAAGAGAAGAACATAGTAAGGTTGTATAGGGCAAATTCTGATAATATGCACAGACTGGTCTTGCTGGAAAAGCTTTTACTTATTGAAATATCTAAACATAAGGCTTTTGGTAAATGGTAATGGGACTTTAAAAGCTGGGCTAGAAAACTGTCTTTATCTGGTAGATAACGGAAAGCTGGTGAAGGTCTTAGAGCAGGAGAGAGCATCGGCAAACCATCTCATCTAGAAAACCCGCGAGCCTACACCATTCACTCTGGTGTTACGAGCCATGCTGCTGCGAAAAAGTCCCTTTCATTCCGCTAAAACTAAGTAAGTCACTGAAGACCCACTGCAGAGCTCCAAGGAAAACATTTTATGAATCAAAAGCTAAGTACAATATGTTAGCAATTAAATGAGATAACATAATAGCCGAGGCAGAACCGTGGCTTTTCCCCCCGCCACGATTCCAAGCTGCTGCAGAAAAGAAATGCTTATATCATCTTCCAAGTTATCAAACCATTTCGTTTTTATTTTCGGAAGGCAGGGAGAGGAAATGGGAAGACTAGGGAGGTCAAGAGGATTGGAGGCTGTCTGCTCTTTAATCAGAAGGCACTATGAAAGAGAGCTAGAGAGGAGATTTGCTCAAAACGAAACCTGCCCCGGAATGGTGTTAAGTTACTGCCACTTGCTTCCACTGCAGAGCAGCAAATGAAGGTGTGCAGTGGGGAAGGAAAGTCCCCCAGGCCGCTCCGAGGTTTCCGGTGCATACCTCCCACTGCTACTTTATTTACTGCAGCTGGCCAGCGTTTATAGCCTGTTTCATGTATTAAAATTCAAATGTGGAAAACATTACCAGGATCCTCCTTGCATTTTTTTGTTGTTGTTGAGGGGAATGGTTTTTTTTTTTTTTTTTTTTTTCTCCCTCTTTCCCTTCAACTTCCTTTTTATGGTGGAATGCATCAACTGGTCAAAGGCTAACTTCAGACTGACTAAATTCAGAAACTATTTCCTTTGTTCTTAGGCTTTTGTTTGAAGATGTATACCGGTTCGCACAAGAAAATGACAACCCAATCTCATCCACACATGTGATGGAGTTTCAGGTGGAGGAGCCCGGATTCTGGGGGCTGCTGAGTATTTTTGAGAAGAAAAAAAAAAAAAAAGACCACACAGTTCCACTTGGGTTCAAGGCCAGCAGGTTGTGGCCATATCATGTCTCTGGAGTTGGTTTCCTGTCTGGGGGGGTCTGTGGTTGTCCTTGATGGAATTAGAAATGTCTTCAGAGGAGCGGGCAAGAACTTTTCCTCCTCAGCAAAAGTAGCCGCTTTACTGCATCTGCACCATTTTTCAAAGTGAAAGACACTCCCTTGTAATGCTGGCTGATTAGTTCCGCTTTTCTCTCCTTTCCCTTCACCTGGGTCCATCCCACTTCCCATCTCCAAAGAGGATTCTAGTCTCTTCCGATCCCACCTCTGAGTCAGCCTCAAAGAGGAGGCAACTCAAAGGTCACACAGTTCCAAACAGCATCTATGCAGAGTTTATTATTTTAAAGAATCACTTAACCTACATCTGGTATTTAAGAGCAAACTTTACATATTTGTGGGGGGAAAACAGCTCTGAAGCAATGCCCTGGGTGCATGTGGCATCCGTTTAACATATGCAAAACGAACACAGCTACAGAAATTAAACTATTTTTCTCTTGATTGAGAACAGATATACAGAAATGGTTATAAGTCACAGATCTGGCTTTTAATAAAGCCAGATTTCTTAATTAAAAGCAGTATTGTTTAAACACTGTCGTTTAAAAAAAAAAAGAGCTGTACAAACTGAAATCTCATATTATATGCATCCCAAGTGTATTTAACACGTTACCTGAGGCCAAGCTAAATTAAAATCTAGATTTTCCTTTTGTTAACTCTTAGCAACTGCCATGAATAGACAAACAATATCTACTCAGTGATGAATTCTTGGGGTAGAGGTCAAGGAAAAGCAAAAAATGATTTAGCTTTGGCATTCAAAAATATCTTTCCACGTCTTAGAAGTGAGTTCATTGCTTCTATTTATAAACCAGTATTTTTGGTTTCAAATTGGTTGCAGGTTTCCATAACACACTCCCAGGATGGTCCTCTCCGTCTTTTACTAAGAGAAGTCGAAAGGACGCAGAAGAACAGGATGGAGCAAGGAGCCTCAGAATGACCGCACTTATTTTGCATTCTTCTCTCGGAATCACCGTTAAACCAGAGACACTTTAAGGGATAACAGCAAAACAACTTTTTAAGTCTATAAGGTACAAAAGAGGACCAAAAAGTGTTTACCGCTCAGGTAGGAGTTTTTAAGGAGTGGACTCACACGGAATCACTAATAACATTAAATTCTCCACCCATTCGGACCTCACTGATTGTCATCACTTAATATTTTGTTAGGAAGATTCTCTGGATCTTCATAACCGTCCCAGAAAGGGATGCACTCTCAAATCCTCACCAAAAGCAGTGGGCAACACTGAGATCCCAGCTGTAATGTGGACAAATCTCCTTAAGCCACATTCAAATACAGACTTAGGAAGAGGCAGTGGTAAAACTCCTGTGCACTTTAATTACAGTCCCACACCAGATATTTGGACAGACAAACCCATCATATATTTCTGCATCCTATACTCAGAATTCAAAGACACTGATTCATTTCTTTAATGAAAAAAATTCAACCTATTCATATCTGTAATGCCAGCAATGTAACATGAACATAAGATGGTTGGGTCCTTAAGTCAAAGCCACCACGATGGAGAATTTAAAATACCAGTGATGGCCCAGCAGTGCTCTCCTGTGTATGTCCTTCAGGGAAATGAAGATGTGCCCACACTATAGCCCATACATAAATGTTCATAGGAGCATTATTCCTAACAGCCAGAATGGAAATAATTCAAATATCCATCACCCGACGAAGATAAATACAATGCACACAATGAAACATTGTCAACGTAAGTGATGACACTCTGATATATGATAAAGAATACCTGGAAAACATTTTGCTAAGCTGGAAAAGCTAGTCAGAAAAGATACTACCTGTTGTATGATTCCATACGTTTTACAGGAAAAACCTAGATTAGGCAAATCTATTGACGGAAAAATTATATCAGGATTGCCAAGGGCTGTAGGGGTTGGGGGAGAGTGGAGAGTGGCTGCTGATGGCAACGGGGATTTCTTCTCATTTTGCTGGGGGCAAAGTGTTCTGAAATTAGAGTGTGGCAATGGTTACATAACCCTGTGACTGTACCAAAACACAGTGAAAGATCAGCCTTCAATGGGTGAATTGCATATTAAGTGACCATACCTCAATAAAGCTATTTTTAAAAAGGGAAAAACAGCAGCGGTAGTGTTTATAATTGAAAATCTAATTTCATACAATAACTACAGTCTATGAAGTTCATCACTTACCATGAGTGAATGTCTGTTGGCTGAAAGAAGACCGGTTCCATACCCTGAGCCCAGACCGCCCATTGCTCCGTTATGAGAAGGTCCGATGATCCCATGCATGTCCCCGTGGCTGCCAGGCATAGCGGTGGAGGGGCCCACTGCATGATTTCGGAGAACATGAATAGCATCATCCAGTCTTTCTAAACGATCTTCAATCCGGCTTTGCTGTTGGTTAATAAATGATGTGAAATTTGATTCAGTTTGAAATGCGTGATTATGTTACATAAGTAAAACTTGAGTTCACATGCACCCCACTTTGAGTTTCCAAATGTTTCCAATAAAGATTATTTCCTTAAAATAATAATAAGAATAGCATCTTGCCTAGACAACTTGTGACAAATGTTAATGTTATAATCATAGTGTTGTTTTTCTTTCTTTTTTTTTTAATATATGTTTTTTATTGATATTTTACAGAGAGGAGGAAGGGAGAGAAATAGAGAGCTAGAAACGTCGAGAGAAACATTGACCAGATGCCTCTTGCACACCCCCTACCGGGGATGTGCCCGCAACCAATGTTCATGCCCTTGACCGGAATCGAACCTGGGACCCTTCAGTCCACAGATAGACGATCTACCACTGAGCCAAACCGGTTTTGGCCATAGTGTTGTTTTTCATGAACAAAGTAAATTCAGTAATTCTCCCAGATATTTGAATGTACAGATGCTATCCTATATTGCATTAGCTTGAAAGAGAATTTAGATTTACTTTAGAAAAGAAAAGCATTTATTAAATTTAAGAAACATTCTGATAGTCATTGGCGAAAAGATTTTTAAATATTAGCAATGAAATGGTGACCTATTTATGGCTCCCCAATTAAATTATCTTCTTGAAGGTATATTCCTCTATGACATATGATACAGTGCTAACTAATCAATTCAGGGATGGGTAAATATAAACAGACAGTAATTTCTTGAGCTACTATTGATTTTCACCTGTGTTTCTTGCTATCTATTTTCATGAGCCTGTGTGTGTGTGCAAGTGTGTGTGTGTGTGTGTGTATGTGTGTGTGTGTACAGAAAGAAGTGGGAACTCAAGTAATCACTGAAAAAAATTACAAAAATTCTGTTAACCAACAGGGTATGAGAGATTTCATAACTGAAGATTCACAAAGAACTGAATTAATGTTTATCAGAGCTTCTAAATGATTTCAAAGTCCTCACTATAGTATAGAATTCACTCCCTTATACAAGTATATGATTAAAAACCAATTTAACTTTCTTTCTCATCCCAGCCATTAAGATCCTACTTGCCTGTGTCTAGATAATGCCTGTACTGTGGTTTTTGGTGAAGAACATGGACATGCAGTTGTGTAGTCATTTTTTTCCAGTGTGATTAATTATGATATCAAATACACAACTGCATAGGATTCTCCAGTGCATACTGTAACATCTAATATCCCACTGAGCCCTCACTCTACATGAGTGAGGCAAGTAGGGGAGATAATATTACCCCTTCCACGTAGATGTGCGAATGAGGCTCCACAAAATTAAATGAATTAATTAATCAGTGTTATAGAACCAGGAAGTGACAAAGTCAGGGTTTATTTTATTTTTTTATTTTTTTAAATTTAAAAAAATATATATTTTATTGATTTTTTACAGAGAGGAAGGGAGAGAGATAGAGAGCTAGAAACATCGACCAGCTGCCTCTTGCACACCCCCCACTGGGGATGTGCCCGCAACCAACATACATGCCCTTGACCGGAATCGAACCCGGGACCTTTCAGTCCGCAGACCGACGCTCTACCACTGAGCCAAACCGGTTTTGCCAAAGTCGGGGTTTAAATCTAAGTCTTTTGACTTCAAATCTCATGTCCTTTTGTACTACAGCATGCTTCCATCCGCTCTGCTTTTCAGTGGGCTGTGCAAACAGATGTGCCAGCTTTACTGTATGAGAAGAACCATTTCTAATTATTCCACCCTGACAGGAAGAATGTGTGTCTAATGCACTTCGTCTACGGTGCAGAGCATTCTGGTTTGGTGGCCTTTGGTGTTACAGGACCTCCCCTAAATGACTAGCATGGCTGCTACTATGACCTTGGAAAAGTTGTTAACTTCTTTGAGTCTACACTTCTTAATTTTAAAAATAGGAATGCATACATATATATACATACACTTCCAAGTGTAAATGTAAGCATGAAAAGAAAGAATACATGTGCCTACCATCCTTCCTGGCTCACAGCTTCCTGGAGGAGAGAGCAGTTTCTGCGTGTGAATCCCCTCTTGAGAATTTAAAGGAACTAAAGCTGTAGTTCACAACTTTAAACCCAGTCTTTACAGTTTTAGAGTTGGACAAAGCCCAGTTTTGATAGATGGGTCCCAGAGAATAAGTGACGGAGGTAAACACTGGCTACAGATTAGTGGGGCTGGGGAGGTAGTGCATATGCCGCCTCGCTCTGTGGTTGCATGCCGGCTAACATGCAGAGCTGGAGGATTCATAGCAGAGAGAGAACAAGGGGGGAACTATATCTTTGTATTTTTAATTTTAGATTTCCCTTAATTTAAATGGTAAGCCGGGAGAGAGGGAAACCCTGACCCGCTGACAAGAAAACATGAAATGAGACAGAGACGTGTATGCCTTCTTCCCTGTCACCTCAACAAAGGGAAACAATGCAGAAAGACTGAAGAGCTCCTAGCTGCACCCCCTCCCGGTTTGGTTCATACACAACCTGGATACTGCACTGCGTGGTGGTGTTTCATGCGTATTTCCGGTCCCATCGCTGAGACCTGAGAAAGCCTAGAGATTCAGACACTGAATCACCACCTACTTATAATATTCATTAACCCCATGCACATGTTCAGCCTTTACCTATTGGAAGAGCAGCACATACATGTCTGCTGCTATTACTAGGTTTCTGTGAGAACCAAAGTGAACAAGGAAGTAGTAGTAGGCTTCTGATTCCAAGGTCAAGAGGAAAATGCCTATAACCCTGTAATTCTGGGAAGCAGAGAAGAGACATATAGGATCTTCAAGTGGTGCCGTACACAGCTTAGCCGGATCTTCAGCAGCTCATCTCAGGGAATTAATCTAATCACCAGCAGGGATCTTTCCCCAGATGGGAAGGGGCCACTATCCTTCCAGGATTTTTAATCTTCTATCTGGTCCTAGATCTTTAGAGCCCTGGGCTTACACTGGCTGTGGTATCTGGGTTACAATCTACAAACAGGAACAAACACAGTCTAATCTTGGAGTGAACCAGAGGCAAAAAGAGAAACAGGCTCTGAAGTGGCTGGAGCAGAGAGGAGTGGGGGACTTACCAAGGAGTGCAAGGGTCCTTCATAGTTAGGAGATGATGAGGCCTGCCCTCCATTTCTGGACCAAACAGCTGTGCCTGCTGATAGGAACGAGGGAATTACAATGCGATCGACATCATCGTAAAAACAACCTCACCGACACTTCAAACTGTTCTCTTAGCCACAGCAAGGCTGATTTCCACATGGACCCTAAGGTGAGCCTCCCGTCCAAAAATTCTGGGGCACGGAAAACATCTTAAATGTAAAACACGGAGACGCTACATAGACAGACTCAGAATTCTCTCAAGCTTCCTAAAAGGAGGACTTTTAGCTAGAGAAATGATCCTTTGAAGAAAACTGTTACTACATAGTCAAGGTCCTTTTAAGAGTGCAAGAGGCAGGGGGGATTGGTGGGGAGAAAGGGGGCAGACTTTGTTATGCCTCCTTGCAAGGCAAGTTTGTTAAACCAAAGTTCTGTCACCAATAAAAAACAGCTTTGTGACTTGGTTTTAAAATGATCCTTGAGAAGCAGTAAGCCTTCAGAAACTTTTTAAGGAAATAAGATTAGTTGGCAGGGATCCACAGAACCCACAATTTAAAAACTCAACATCACAACCGTAATAAGTAAGCAGTTTCTTCTGAAGAAAATAATTTCTTTTTTAACGATTCGCTAAACCTGCGTGTAAAGAAAGATGCCCGCCATAATAAATATTACATGTCTAACATGCTCCTTTTAAATTTAAAATAATATGCACTCGGAATAGAAGATAAATAATTCAAGGAAGGGAAATAAAATCTACGATTTCACTGAACTCTCACGCCCGACACAGTTAGCACTTTAAATACTCATTCTCCTGTCATTCCTGGGGGTGCGTACGTGTGTATTCCGATGCTAAATGAAAATAAGAGTATTTTGTCCAGTTACTTTCAGTGACAGAATCTGGATGGAGCTCTCAGTGTGAAAACGGCAACCTGCCCCGGGTCTACATCCTCATGAGGCCCTTCTCTGCTGCCGGCTGGCCTTCCAGGACGGGTTCCCAGGGCCTTGCGATGGCCTTGTTTCTAGTCTTTCCCTGAGAGCACCCTGCTCAGGTTCAAAGTATAATATTTGGGGCGTTTTCTGGCATGATTTGTGCACCACTACTTTCGGCGCCCCATTTATCTGGATCCCAGAGGCAGAATTGCGAGCACCCGGATCTTTGCTACAGACTTAACCTTATGCATTAGACTAAGACAGTGGTTCTCAAGCTTTATCAGACTCTAGAATTTCCCCCAAATTATAAAATAGACAACATTAGAGTTGTTTTGCTTGAAGGGGCACATGGGGTTCTTTGTCCCTGCTCAGAGCCCTCCTCGTGGGCCTCATGGGATGCTGCCCTGTGTAAGGGGCTGGTGGTCACTTTCCAGAGTGAACAGCATGGCAGGCACCGCACCACGCTGAGCTTCTCTTGCCTTTTCTATCCTGGGGGATGCCTCACTGCTGCTGCAGCATCCCTTTACTATCATCTCTGTTTCTTCCCAGATTCAACTCTGTCTCTCTGGGCAATGGGACTTAAATGTCCAGCTACCCCCCTCTCTATTCTGTGACCACTGCCCCCAACCACTCCCCCTTCCCCCCATGTCAACGGAGGCTTGGGAAGGCTGACATCAAACCCGCCTCCGGAAGCTTGGTGGAGATCTGAGACCAGAGAGCCGGGCTGTGGTGGGCCCTGTGAGTGCTGCTCCAGGGATGGAGGAGGCAGCATTTCGGCAAGCGACTCGCTATAAATTACAGAAAGGTCAGGTTTCAATGAGGTACAGATGTGACTTAGTTCTGTGCTAGAAGCCACCTGCCCTCTTTCCAGAGTGCGGGGATAGGCACCGGGCAGGGCCTTCTGGAAGCGTTTATACTGGAAGGGCAACAGCCTTTCAGATGGACCTCTGCTTTGCTAACATAACGTAAGAACTTACATTTTATTACCTGAAGCCACAGTTCACGTAATTTGTTATTTTTAAAGGCAAACATCCCCCTTTACTCCGCACACTTCACAACTTATTTACAAGATTATAGTTTCCTCAAACATTCCAATTACATGGACTCCAAAGAGGGGATGTGGAAAGTCTAAAGTTTCTGTGGGGAAAGAGCCTCTTGGATAATTTGTATTTGAGACTGTGCAATCATGTTCAAAGCTCTATGTACTACCTGCTCTCGTTTGAGATGTTTTATTAGAACACGGTATTCTGTGGAGTATCTTCTAAAGAGCCGGGAAGATTTTTAGAAATAAGTTTCCCATATGCCTGAACATTTAAAAAAAAAAAATCTAATTTTTAAGAAAAGTTTGGGTGTCCATGGCTGTGCCTTCACGGCAGGCGGTCTCTCCACTCTGTTCTGTGTATCAGGAAATGGGGTTGGAGCCCATGGAGGGGCGGGGTTCCCCTCCCAGTGCTGGGAGCCCAGGGGCCGTCACTCACCAGCGGGCACCGCGAGGAGTGGGAGCAAGGACAGTACCTGAGAGAGAAGGCGGAGAGCCAACAGGAGTTGAAGGGTTTGATGAGAAGCTGTTGTTAGTGTGATCTGGAGAATAGATCTTAAAACAACGGGGAGAAAAGAAAACAGAACCTCATTATTAGGAACAAACAATCAACTATTTTGTCAAGTGCGAAGTAGCCATGCAATTCATTTAAAAACTACAACGTACAAAATACATTTAGCGATCAACTGCAGTAACGATAGGTAACCACTTTAATTTTTTGAAACCAGAATTACTAAGGTCATATAGGATAGTCGGAAAAGACCGGGACTGGAGGTCAGCAAACTACTTCTCTAGTCCTTTTCCGCCCACTGCCGCCAGTGGCTGCCTGGCTGTGAGCAAGCCACAGAGAAACACAAAACAGGCCAGACCAAGTCATCCCTGAGATTGCTGCCCAACTCCTTCTTCACCATGATTAAGGCATTTGATTCCAAGACATAAGAATGCCTAGATTAAATAAAAACGTTTACTTGGTAAAAATGTTAAGAGAAACCCAACACATTTTATACTCCTGATGGAACGGAATAACCAACCCAAGAGATAAAATGTTAGAGCACCAAATCTCCAATAACATTTGCAAATGACCATGCTTAGCTTTTGAGGACAACACCAGGCACCCTCCCCTCCCTGACACAAATAAGGTGTGCCACTGACACTAGTGAACGTGCAGGACCCCTGGCAGACTAGCCTCTTGGCAGTGGGTAGGTAAGGCAGAGAAGCCGAGTCCCCAGGTGCCAAATGTGTGACTATTTCCCCTAGACCTCAGTTATGGTCTTTTTATTTATTTTACTTATTTAAAAAAAAAAAAATATATATATATATATATATATATATTTTATTGATTTTTTTACAGAGAGGAAGGGGAAGGATAGAGAGTTAGAAACATCCATCAGCTGCCTCCTGCACACTCCCCACTGGGGATGTCCCCGCAACCAATGTACATGCCCTTGACTGGAATCGAACCTGGGACCCTTGAGTCTGCAGGCCGACACTCTATCCACTGAGCCAAACCGGTTGGGGCAATTATGGTCTTTTTAAATGCCTTTTCTAAAGTATTTTAGAATTGCCCCTTGTAAAGTCAGTCTTAGATGGTCAAGGAGGACCTATCTGACTTTAGAGAAAAATAAGAAATCCAGATAGAAAATCTGTACACCTAAGGGCTCTGAGAATATCCGAGAACCTGTAACCAAGTACCACTTAGCAGCCCTGAGGAGACAGGATGGAAGAGACCAGCCAACCATGGAAGTTGCAGAGCTCTCTCTTCAAATTTTCCAGTGATCATTATGCAAGAAAGCGAGCATTTCCCAAATCAAAGCTATTTGCCATTCATTGTATAAAATTCCACATATGTCCACTTCTGATTAAAGTTCAGGCCTCCACAATGCTATGTATGAAGTCCAAAGTCAATATTGCCTCACCGAAGCAAGTGCTTTCCCCAGAGCATCTCCAGTCTGGGAGCTGCCTGCTGCTCCGCTTCCTCTGTTTGCTGCAAAAACAAAAGGCAGAATATGAAAAACCAGACAGTTTTTCTACTCCTGGTCCATTTACTTACAATTTAATTGCATTTTTAATGCTAATTATGACACATTAATTTTTAATTAGCATTAATTTGTTTGTTGAGGTAGATGTCAAATATATTCATGTTACATTTTCTACAGATAAAATATAAACCTGACACTTTGGTCTAAAGATATAGCCTTTTAGTTGCTATAACCTTCAGGCTTGTTGCCTAGGAGTGTGTAGTAGTGAATGCTAGCTTATTGCTAAGAAATAGACAGTACTTTTAGATGTCATAAGTCCTCAAAGTTTGGCTTGTCTTTATATTTTAGATAGTCAACTGAATTCTCCTTAGGCATAATTTACATCTCCTTTGAAATAAAAAGAGGGACTCCTCTCAAAGTTCCACAGTAAACAAAATCAAACTAACAAACAAAAAATCTGTAACAGGCCTAGGAGAGAAAATATTTTTAGTATCTGAAATAACATGTATCCTCCACACCTTTACGTGAAATTTAAAAAAACTTGAAGTCAGCATGCCCTCAGATTCTGGAGATAAAATCAGTCTACATAATCACGAAGCTATCGCTCCATCTTAAACACTGGTATTTTTATCTACAGAATAGATGAACAAAGAGTGCTATTAATAAAAAGACAGAGGTGCTTGTGCATAATTCAAAGCCAGCTCTATTCAGCAAGTGACTTTGAAGGCAATTTGCCTTTACACAATGGGACAGCCAGTGCTCCTCGGAGGTCTTCAGTCTCAGCACAACGCCCACGTGTGCTATGTTACAGCCACCGGGGCCTTGACTTCAGCAAGCTGATGTAGTATTTAAATAAAACATATTAAACTCCAGCGGAAGATATTTTTTCAATACTTGGTGAAATAAGAGAAGAAAACTGATTAATCCAAGCAAAACTTCATTTCATAAATTATATATATATATATATATATATATATATATATATATATATATATTTTTTTTTTTTTTTTTTTTTTTTTTTTTAATTTGCAGCCCTATCCTTGACCCAGGAAAGCAGCTTTTTGGTAACGTGTATCCATGTCCAGTCTGTGAAGTGGAATCGAGCTCAGACCCCAGGGGTTAGTTTCTCCCTGTCTCCAGGTTACAATGCCATGGTCTTGACCTCTGATTAGCACAGTTGAATTCTGCTGGCTATTTTTACATATTCACATGTTGGATATGATCAGTTAGTGGTCTTTTGATGTGTGTTTTATTTGATTAACAAAACCCACCCCCATATTCATGTGCTATTACTCAACTTGAAAGAACACTCATAGATGGTAAAACGAACACAATCACCTTTGGACAAGACATTCATTTTCATTCCACAGACTCAAATGGAAACTGTATCATTAAAAAGTAGCTGACATTGTCCTAGAAAAAGTGAAGCTATAATCTGTAATTTCCAAAGGCAATTAAAAGGCTCGTCTCTGATTGGCTATTAGGGCTAAGGATTTTAAGTGGAAGCAATCTTTGAAATGGGGGTCTGACATCATGCTGAGCCAGTGGAAGGAACTCATAGATATCAAGAGTATTAAAAATACTTAGTATAAGAGATAAATTTTATCTGGCGTGAAAATTAAAATTGTTGTATTAAGGAGTTTTGTTTTTTTTAAATAAAGAGAATTCTAAATAGAAAACAATAAGTATTTTGGAAACATGGAGAGAAGCAATATTTTCCAGCTGGTTTATATATTATTATATATAATTATATATATGATTTCTAGAAATTCATATATATAATTTTTACATTATCATATATACCTAAAATTAGATTTAGTAGTCAAAATAATTTGTCATATCTGCTTAATTACAAAACAGATATGTAAGTGCAAAGCCACAATGGAAAAATTACATTATCTAAAAAAGAACTGAAACCCAAGTAGTACAAGATACTGTTTCAATTACAGATAACATTTGCTACCATTGTGGCTTTCAAAAGATTAATTCTCCCTTTGAACAACTTTAAAATTAAGATAATAAGTGTTTAAAAATAAATTTTCAGGAAGCCAAACAGAACTGAAAATCAACAGAAATACTTTAGGAACATTAAAAAAAAGTTAATTATATGTAACACACACAAAAAAATCACACTTTACAAGAAACAATATATAATTACTATGATCACACTCATACTAAACTTTATATTAAGTGCCTGTTAAACAGAGGAAGATGTTAGGACCTAGGAGGTAGAATAAAAAATAGGATCAATTCCTTACCTCACGTTGTCATAAAAAATGATTCCAAAAACTAACAGGCTACTCTTGGAAGCCGCTGATAAGAATAGACTATTTTTAATATGCAGCCATTCCACCTTGCTGGAGTGAGGAATCCAGGGCTTAAATTTCAAAGCTGTTTACTGGGCCAGTTTGCCCCTTCGTTTGGAATGCCTTTTGTTCTGTTCCAGGAAACATTGGGGAAGACGCATTTTCTAGAGTCCCTGAGCATGTGAGGCGACATGGGTCCTTCTGCTATAGAGTTCTTTTTTTATTTGTGTGACTGATATGTCAAAGGGCACAAATAATCAGACAGTGAATATAGCATTAATTCTCAAAGTTATAATTTATTTTTATATTAAGTAATGAGTCATATTTAGCCACACTCACTTCTAATGAACTTGGTGCTTATCAAATCCACCTGGAGGTAACAGGACTTGATGACTATTCTAACCCCAAGTTTTTGTCAACTCGTATTATGAGCAATTACCCAAGGGCCCATGTGACAGATAAAGATGAAAACGATTGCCCTTACTTGGGAAAGACTAAGTTGATTTCTTCAGATATTTTAGCTCTATTCCACTTTTCTTGCTCAAGATAAAAAAAGAATCTGTCTTGGAGCAGGGTTGCAAGATAAACCTGAGTGGAAGATGAGCAGTGATTAAGAGGAACTGTAATTCTGTAGGAGGATTCGGCACTGCCAGCCACCCAAGCACTGCTCAGCTGGCTTGCGTGCAGGTGCTGTTGCTGGCAAGCATGGAGCAGAGAAAGGGGTTCCGCTACACACGGACCACCCTGGGACTCAATCTCCACTTTGGGGAAATGGCAATTCCCATTAGGACACACCCTCATCCAAACACCAGGAAGGAGTGGTGCCTGGGGACTGACTACTGAAAACCAGAATTGTGGAAATGTTACCCCTTTAATACACACCCATAACCTCAGGCTGGGAACATCACAGAGATATAAAAGGAATGATGAGTGCACTTCATAGTGTGTTTTCCTGAAAGAAGATGACTGCTTTAAAATTTAGTTTTTTTTCCTGAACTATGTGCAAGTGAGCCTCACCTTATTAAACTATTAAAAAAAAGCATCCTAACAATGGCCTGAGCGTGACTATAAAGATGACACAAGATGGAGCATCTCCAGCACAACTACAGAATCTAATTTTATAACGAAACCTCAAATTTGGGCAATAATGCACTAATTTTTAGCATGAGGGGATTTCTAGAAATTCAGGGGGAAAGCTGGGCCCCAGGACAAGTGCAGGAAATGGACAAGAAGACTTCAATCAAACCAGTTTATTGCTTTCCATTAGTGGTCTTTGTAACTACGGTGCCAGGACATTGCTGGATGAAGTTCATGAACTCTCATGCGCTGTGCCTGTCCCTCACCCAATTCTATTTGAAGGCTCAGGATCCTTATAAAAGACAAAGTGAATCTATGTGACTACTCTATTATAAAATAACTGTGAAGCCAAGTCCCCAAGGGGAAATTGACATGTTTCTGCTAGAAAAGCCACATACTCAAGTGCTTCATGTCACACAAACATGCCACTAGAAGTGAAAGTGGTAAGCCAGATAAATTCACAAACCGGATATATTCCAGGGTGGTCTTTAGTATATGTCGTATTAAATCCATCTTGGTAGTCTGTTCCTTCAACATTGTTTGGTTTGAGGTTAAAAACATGGGAAATGCCTTGTATGAGCAAGCAGGCCAGTTAAAGACCAATAAAGCAATAAGAGTTACTGTAAGCATTGTACGGGTTGGATGGCCAATTCCCTCTGAGGGTAAGGGAGGGTGTAGAGCCCAAACAACAAGCAGTCACACCCTGGGAGGGGAAAGAAACAGTCCCTCCCAATGGGAACTGCAACTCTCTCCTCCCCAGGAAGAGTCAGCTGTGTGAGAGGTAGAGTCGCCTCAATGCTTTTGAGCAGGAAGGGCTATTGGATATTGCAGTTAGGAAGGAAACACATATATAACAAAAGGTATATGTCTGCTCACCTCTCACATTTCTATCCTCTACAGCTGGCATTTAATAACTTACTATACTTCATCTCTGAGATACACCCAGCAGGATAATATTGAAAGGGTTTAGGGCCGAAACCGGTTTGGCTCAGTGGTAGAGCATTGGTCTGTGGACTGGAAGGTCCCAGGTTCGATTCCGGTCAAGGGCATGTACGTTGGTTGTGGGCACATCCCCGTTGGGGGTGTGCAAGAGGTAGCTGGTCGATGTTTCTCTCTCATCAACGTCTCTAGCTCTCTATCTCTCTCCCTTCCTCTCTGTAAAAAATCAATAAAATATATTAAAAAAAAAAAAAGGGTTTAGGGATAATGTTTGAAGAGCTTGGGATTGGTAACTCCCTTAGCCCTCAGCCGCAGCTTCTCTCCTTACTTGGGTGCTCCATTAGTTAACTAACTTCTTTTTTTAAATTTTTAAAAAATATATTTTATTGACTTTGTACAGAGAGGAGAGAGAGAGAGAGAGTTAGAAACATATATGAGAGAGAGTCATCATCAATCAGCTACCTCTTGCACACCCCCTACTGGGGGTATGCCAGCAACCAAGGTACATGCCCTTGACTGGAATCGAATCCAGGACCTTTCAGTCCCCAAGTCGACGCTCTATCCATTGAGCCAAACCAGTTTCGGCTAGTTAACTAACTTCTATCAGCCCGCACTGTGTCCCTGCATTATACTCATACACTTCCAGATCCCTCTAACTCAGAAAGGTCTGGTATAACCTCCTGAGTGTGCTGGCAAGGCTTCAGAGGAAAATGTGAATTCTGTGTAACAAGTGAAATGCTTTCTAATTCTTTCAAGAATCCATGAATGAATGTGTCACTTAAAAAAAAAATTTCACCATTAATATAATCTAAGTAAGATGTATACTTCTTAAGGGTTTCAAAAACAAACAAACAAACAAACAAAAAAAAACAAACAAAAGCCCCAAGAAGCAATGGTCATTTCTTCAAACCAAACACAGGCCATCTGAGACCCCAGTGAGCATCTTCCATCTGTGAAATGCAGAGAACAGAACTTCCAATAGTTCTAGAGCTTTCCTCTCATGCCACATGCGCTCTGTTGTCCTATGACCAGTTCAGGAAACTGTTGACTACCAGGAAGATATATTATAAAATGAAACTGAGAAGTGGGCTAATAATCCTTTGAACTGAAAAAAACAAAAAACAAACAAAAAATAGCTTCCTAAGACATCAATGTTGTTTATTAAAAGATTGCCCTGCCTTGCAACTTTACACCAAGAAAACTTGAAAAATCTGATGTCCATGTGTTAGCGCTTGAACCCCATTCTTACGGCATTAGTATTGCTTACAGCTATTTTCTACAGAATCATGTGTGTAATCTTAAACATGTGTCAAGCTATGTGTTCCCTATTTACCAATTATTTAATTAGCTCTGTTTGTTCTTTGCGATACAGGCAATGTAATATTTCTTTATTTCCTGCATTTCAGAATGAGTGAGTATATGCCAAGTATTTTCAAAAGTCTACAGATGTGTCCTATTAGCCCATACTGTTTGTTAGGGAAGCATTAGTAACTGAAGAGAAATCTTCTCTTGTTAGACAGACATGCTGCCGTCCCTGACTTCTACCATCCTCTGAAAATCAAGCCAAAACCTAAGAGAATTAAAGTGCGAAGACACTTGAGTCACGCAGACACGGTGCAACCAGGAAGCCTATTATCATATCCAAATTTCCCTCTGCATTTTAACTGGAGGAGTTGGAAGACATGTTTTAAGGGAGAACATGAGCCTTCTCTCTGACAGTAACCCTGAATTCATAATTGCATTTATGCAGGTTCTTCCAAAATGCCGAATTACCATGTCTACTTATTTCCTGAAAAGATTATGAAGCTTTCTCACATTCTACCAGCAGATTTTGTCAAGTACACCCATGGTTATGGATTAATTTATGTAATAATGTTTTGTCTAAAAAAAATCCTTTTCTAGGTTCCAAAAATCTCATACTTTTTTTCCCTTTTAAAGTTACAGCTTCCTAATTATTACCTCCCTTCACTTAAATAAGTTAAGTCCATCTTTTGCCTAGAGCTCCACACTACCCAGGCCCAATGAAGGAGAGGAGACATTTTTATTCTTCTTTAAGCTAATGATGGTTTACTAAGGCACATCCCATTCCCACCGAGATGCCTGGCTTTGCTAACCACAGCCCAGGGGCGTAGATTACGCTCTCGCAATATCTTTCTTCCCAAGTCTACTGTCTGTCTCCCAGGAAGACTGTTCTGCAAATTAATTAACAAACCTTTTTTTTTTTTTTCAAACAGTGCCTAAGTATGCTTTCCTCAACTCAAGCGCTTGCTCCACCTTTATACCTTCCTAAAAAAGAAAATTACTCAAACCACAAGCAGACAGGAAATCTGCCATGTAAGAGGATGAATGACCGGTCAGCCTGCTTTATAACTAGACCTCATGACTACAGAAAGGGGCTTTCCATGTGCCAAACCACACTGAAGTGAAATATGCTTCTCTCACTCTTTCAGTTCTGCACTTCTTTCTTCTTGTTTTTCAAATCTTCCAAAATTGCATTGATGGCTACAAAATGTCCTCATATGACCGCAGTCCAGAGCCCCCCAAAATCAACTCATGCAACACATTTGTAGAAACTTTGAAAAGTTACAAAAATGGAAATCCCTATTTGCTTCTCAATGAGACGTGATAGTGAAGGGCTGCTAGATGGCTCATCTCAAGTGAGAAATATAATAATACAATCTCAAGTGAGAAATATAATAATACAATCTCAAGTGAGAAATATATTATTGAATAAACAGAGATTGTATTATTTAGGCAGGATTACATTTGCAACACTTCAAAATATATCTCTTTTTTATAAAAACAAAACAAACAAACAAAAAACCAACCTTCCACATAAGTGATTCATCATCATTCCCAAAGTTCTACAGACTAAGGGAAATGAAAAAAAAACCCCTACAAATAGCTAAGAGTAGCCGCAGGATTATTGTTACACAGTCTCCTCTCTAAAACACCCAGTGAGTATTCTCATCAGTGACTCCCTGGAAGTAACAGCCCCAGCAGGGGATGGGTGTGAGCTAAAACCAGTGCAGTGGCAATCAGTGAAGCCTGAGGTTGAACAGGACCCTGGAGCATCAGGCTGTAGTGATGGGTGACAGAGACAGTTGACAAAGGCCAATTCCGAAGGGAGTGCTTCCCTCCTCTCCAACCTGAACTCTTTCTTTCTTGGGCAGCTAGACATCCTGCCAGCTCTTCCCTCCCTCGAGATAAGAGTGTGATGGGGAGCCATTGGTCCTTGGAAGAAGACCACAATGGACTGCATGGAAAGTGAGAGGAGGAGGATGGCTCAGCTAATCTGGCAGCAACTTTCTGCCTTAACTTATTTTTCTCTTAACTTGAGAAAAAGTAGCAGGTAACTTTTGTCCCACAGATGCCTAGCCGTCTCCTGTCTCCTGTTCTATGAGTGAGTGACACTTCTTCCCTCTGAAGGACTTCACCATGCAGCATTCTTCTGAAGGTGGAGCTCATATCTAGTTATTACTTGTTGCATGTTAGCTTTATATGAACCCATCTGCAGAAGACCGTGGTGTGTCATGGCTAAGAACAAAACACCGTGACTGAATCTGGGAAGTGGTAACTACTATTAAGAGACATCATGTTCTCTATCTCATTAGTCTTCAATGGTTTGTCTTATAAAAGCTCACTTTGCTGGCTGTTTGGGAGTATGGGAAGCAAGGTGGTTTGGTGTATTTAAATCCTGTTAAATCTAATCAGAATAGGCAAAGTAACCAAATTTTAGTTTCTTGTGGAACAAAATGTGATGATGGTCAAGTCAATGACTATTTCTGTTTGGTTCATTTGTTTGTTCGGTTATGTGACAAACATTCATCCCCTGACTGCTGTTCAATTATAGGAGAGCTTTCATTATAATCCTGACCTTGAATGTTGGTACCAGAACTGGCATTTCCAAAACTCACCCATTATACTGTCTGTCCCGTTGGCAGGAGGCGTACAGGAAGAGGTGCTGTAATGGTTGGTACCACTACGATGGAAAGTGGACATTGGAGGAAGACTGGAATTGATGTCTGCTGAGGAGTGTGATGGGTAGCTCTGTAGCAAGAAGCAGAAAAAGGAGGCCATTTTCAACCATAAAATATTTAGTGGGTTAGTTTTATAACACTTCCTTCTGCAATGGAGAAAGCCCTTAAAATTCTAAAATGTTGAAGAATACATCTTGCTTAGATTTGTCAACTTTCATTTTTTCAAATATTAAAACACAAAGACACACAGTTTGGATTTGCATCAAATCTAGAGGAATATGATGGCAATGTAGGATACTGAAAAGTGATTACAATCTCTAAATCTAAAAATTACTGTTTAAAAGCATATCTGTAGCCTGGCTGGTGTGGCTCAGTGATTGAGCCTCGATCTAAGAATCAAGAGGTCATAGTTCAATTACTAGGTTGTGGGCTCCATCCCCAGAAGGGGGAGTGCAGGAGGCAGCCAATAGATGATTCTCTCATCATTGACATTTCTAGCTCTCTGTCCCCTTCTTTCCCTCTCCCAGAAATCAATAAAAACATTTTTTTTAAAAGCATCTCTGTGACTTTAACAGCATAAAAAAGTTCTTTGTGCGACCTATTGGTCAAGTAAGAAAGATTCTATGATAAAAATAAGATAGTGACCTACAGGGTTTACATTACGCTTCATCCTGACCTTCTGAACACTAAATGGCAAAGAGTAACCAGTCTCAGGTCTTTTCCTGCCAAAACTGATCAGCTTTCTGAACTCCATCAAGGATAAATGGTAAATAAAAAATTTAAAAGTGCTAATGATTAGATATCTCTCCAAAGCATCAATATATAAAGCCTTAACTCAATGACTGTACTGCATTAAATGAGAACAAGTGAACTGAGAATAACTATTTGACTTCTTACTTTATATACGTCCACTCCATTAGTAATCTTCACGTGTTGACTGTGAAAGATCACCTTTACAGAATCATTTGGTTTAAGGTTTGGCTTTGGGTTACATTATTACACTAGTTGTCCAAATAAGCTGCTTTTCTTGGGGCATATCACAGTCCCTGGGAAGCTGGCAAACTAGGTGCTACCCAGGTATCCTAATAATATTTACAGAAAAGTATCAAGCTATGTTCCTGCTCAAGATAGTAAGTACCTTTAAAAGGTGCTCTCTCAGGCATCTGATGGATTATAAACATGTAAAGGAAAACATTTAAGGTAAAATAGAGATTTTCCTTTTATGTGATGTATTAATGGGCTATGGGTCTTTATTATGCGATTATTGGAGAGTCTGTTAATGTAAAATTGAGATTTGGAGATGATGCTTAAAGTCAGAGGCGCCCCAAGTCCAGGCCATTTGTTCACAAGGAGTGAAACCCTGGTGTCTAGGTATTTTCTTCTATTTTGAGAGGCCCATCTTGGATCTACCTCCTCCTCGATGATTCCTCACTGCTTCCAACTCTTCCAAGTTTTCTCTGCTCTGAATTCCTAATGAACTGACAACATCTTCACTGAGCCATTTAATAATGCTATGCTGCCTTTCATTGTGATCTCTCTCACATGCATTTCTATCTATACTGTAAACTCTTTAAAGAGAAAGAATACAGTTTATACCTCTGCATCCCACAGCATGCTACTGAGCGCTGAACACACAATTACCCTATATACCCAATGAATGACTGGCTACTAGTGTTCAATAAATACTGGATTGAAATGCTAGTTATTTGAGAGGTAACTAAAAAGTCTGAAAAATGAAACTTTGTTTCAGAACCAAGTCTGCCACATCCATGCTTTTGAAAATATTACTTTTGCACACTCAAATAGTCCGAAGGAAAGGTCAACTTCAGTGTAAAAGTTGACATACTGCCCTTAAACTTTTCCAAGCTCCCAAGAATACCTTTCAAACTTTTAAGTTACATGAACCTCTTTGCATGACCAAAAATTTCCTTATGCTACCTGTTAAACTCATTTCTACTTGCTGCTCACAGAATATCCCAAGCAGTCCCTTGAAATTTCTTCCAAAGAAAGTAAAGTGGGGCCATTCCATAGTAGATCTAAAACTCTGAATAAGCCACAAACACCAAACTTAGAAGAGCTATTTCTGCTCAGGAGCTAAAGACTATCATAAAGTGGAGAAAGAGAGAAAGAATGAGGAAAAGAAAATGAAAGAAAAAGAGGAGGCTTCAGTTCTTCTCCATGCAGTTTCTAAAGAATAGAGAAACTATAAATCAGTCCCAACTATGCAAAAATCAAAGCAGAGGCAAATATTAATAATTGCAGAATGACACACGAAACAGATTATTGTATCAGTGAGATTTTTTACACCCCTTATATATGGGCAGTAATTTAGAATTTGACAAAAGGTTCATACTGACTTCTGAGACTAAAAAGAAAAATTCTTTTCCATAGATTTTAATGGGAAACCCCATAGAATGCACCCAAATCAGTTATTTTTAGAGATTCATAAAATATGAGATGCTGAAAGAAATCAATGAGATTTATAACTCGATTATTTTTCAAGAAAAAGTATCATGAAAACTACTGTTACTCAAAGTCCTAATAAATACCACACAGAGAATATCAGTGATATGTGATTCATGTCTCTTATAGAGTAGTCAGGCATCAACTACAAGAAGTCCTCTTAATCTCTTTTAGTCCAACTATTAATACTGTCTGCTCTGCTTACTACAGAACAAAAGGGGAAGTATGATAAAGTGCTATAGCCTTACATATATTTTTACCTTTACTGGCCAAATGAGTGTATTTAGAATCTACTGACAGAATAAGTGGTGAAAATGTTTCCATTAGTGATGTTTTTATGGGTCGATCACTCAGACTGATCTCACTTATATGTGGAATCTGTATGATGGACAAAACAGAACCAGAGGCACATGGAACAGTCTGACAGAGGTTAGTCAAAAAACACATATGAAGAGGTCAGTCAAAGAACACATGTGCAGAGCCCGAGGACACAGACAACAGTGTGGTGATGGCCAGAGGAAAGGGGAAGGGAACTGGGTGAAGGTGAGTAAAAGCATGGTGAGTTGGGGACATCTGTAATTGTGAAAACAATAAAAAGTGAAGGAACTTTTTATTTTAGTAGCACATACTAAAATACAATTGGGGTTTAGGGTAAGGCAGGGTTTCACAACCTTGGCACTACTGATGGTACCAGATAATTCTTTTTTTATTTTATTATTTTATTTTATTGATTTTTTACAGAGAGGAAGGGAGAGAGATAGAGAGCTAGAAACGTCGATGAGAGAGAAACATCGACCAGCTGCCTCTTGCACACCCCCAACCGGGGATGTGCCCGCAACCAATGTACATACCCTTGACCGGAATCAAACCTGGGACCCCTCAGTCCGCAGACCGACGTTCTATCCACTGAGCCAAACCGGTTTCGGCAGTACCAGGTAATTCTTTACTGTGGGAAGCTGCCCCATGCATTGTAGCATTTTTACCATCATCCTTGCTATACATTAGATTCCAGTTGCAACTACTCTCCCCCCCAACACACATTTCCAAATGTTTCCTGAGGGGCAAAAACCACACCTGATTGAGAATCACTAGGGGAAGGGATTAGGTTACAAAAAGTAAGGACAACAGAACTTCCTTTATATGAACATTCCTGACTCCTAGGATTTTGGTACTCTGTAGGGCAAAAATCAGGTCTCAACCATGCCAGATGGCAAGGACTTCCTATTTTTAGAATGAACTCTGTCAAGTCATTCCAAACTTAAATCTTCTACAAATCTTCCAAAGCTCAACCACAAACTCCATTCTTCTGAGTGACTCTGTGCGCACACTTAGGGAACAGTAGTGATTAGTCTATGGGATTGTGTTGCAGAGGCTGAAACTGTAGAATCTGAAGAATCAAAATTAGTTACCTGACAGTTGCTACTAAAATGTGTGGATTTAAGCTTTATAATTGCATTCTCTTATAACATGGTATAAAGTGAAGCTGACAGTAATGTGTCTAAAATGTTTTACCGTTAGAGACTATATAGATTTGGCTATATTATACCCAAAATACCATCAGGAAAGCTCTCTTCTCTTCCTCAAATGATTTCTTTGTTCCTTATGGCACTGGCCCAAAGCTACAGGTGAACATTGTAAGGAACTGCCATTATTTTCAAGTGAAAAGACACCAACTGCCTACTATATACTCTAATTATTCTTAGCCAGGGTCAGATTTTTTTTTAATGTCACTTCAAAATATTTCCAAAATGGTTATTGAAATGGCAATGATCACTCGATATAACAATTCAACAGTTTCCAGTGAGAAACTACCAATGAGAAAATTCATTGGGATACATTGCCAAAGACATAATTCATTCAGCCTTTTTTAAAAAAAACAAAAAAAACGCTAATCTCTAAAATCTGCTACATGATCATGTTAAGAATAAAAACCCCGGGTTTGTGATGGATAAGTGACATTACAAATACAGCATCTGATGCAATTTACTGGGTTACTCCCTCCAAATGATCTTTCCTTTCATTACGCAAAACTTTTTCAAAGTGTAGTTTTCTTTACAAAGCTACATTTTTGTGTGCATTTGAGCATATTTTAAAGGATACCTCCCCATGCAGTGAATTTGGGATGAAATGAAACTACCTAAATCAACATTCTAGATCATGACAGGGGAAAAAAAGAAATATAGAAGAGAAGAAAAATAAATGTCAGGTGGACAACTCTTTAAAGGACTGAAGTTTCAACATATTAGAATACTGCCAAGATCTTTTATGTGTAATCAAAACTTTCCTTGTTCATAGGGCACATGTAGATTTGATCATGAGTTCCTTAGAGAAGTGGAAAATGATAATGGATAAATAAAAATGTTAGCCAAGAAGAAATTCTAGTATAATAGTAGTTGATATTTCTCTAAGCTTTCACTCTAATACCTCTAAGCAGGAGGCAGGAGAAGAGAAAATCTGAAAGCAAATCATCTGCTATTGAGTAAAAATGTGCTGAACTTAGATAGTTTGTGATTTACACAATCACAATTAGGAGGTAATATAAAAGGCCAATTCTACCTTTATCTGTCTCTCATTAATGGATAGGTTAATGGACCTCATAGTGTCTCTGTCACTAGGACTAAATAAATAGGCATATTCAAGTATTTCAGAAATCCCAACTCCTGGGATATTTTAGGTTGTTAGAATAGGAAATAAGCCACTTTCTCCATACCTCTAGTGGTTGAGTAAAAGAAAGACCACAGAATTCTAGGAAGTACTATATCCTACATGAGGACAGAGAAAGAAACATAACTCTGGGTATTAGAAAAAGGAGAAATTCCAAGATGAAGAGAAATAATATAAAGTCTACTAATGCTAAGTGGACTGGTAATAACCTTGTAGGAATGGATGTCTACACATTTCCAAAACTAGGTTATTGCACAAGGGACTCACTTTCTTATCTGCATCACAAACTTAACTCATGGTCTAGAAGTACTCTTTCCTCCATTTAATGATAGACTTACATTCACAAGTGGAGTCTTGGCTGTGGTTTCTTTGAGGCTAGAAAAACATCAGGTTGAGTTGCTTCTTCCAGGATAAAAAGTAATTAATATTTAGGATGGATGAGTGTAGGTGATGGGCAGAGTGGAAACTTTAGTAATAAAAGAAAAAAGAGTAACATTCTATAGCAGTTTTCAACTGGCACGAGGCAAAACAGAATATCAATAGAAGATTGGGGCTGTGGAATTAAAACTAAAAATAGAAAATTTGGAATCTGCTCCATACAGAAATCCCCTGGTTGCTGTTACTGATGGTAGGGTGAAGAAAAATGAACTCTTTCTCCCAGTGTGGCATACCAGATCACAGCGGTGAGCAGTGAGAGAAGCTGGTCAAGGGGAAGTGGAAATGCCCATGAATATCACTACCATCATAGTCTACTGACTGTCACTCTGCCCCCTGCAGTATATCCTTCAAAACTACAAATAGAAAAAAAAAAAAAAAAAAAAAAAAAAAAAAAAAAAAAAAAAAGGAACAGCCATAGCTGGATTCTGCAACTGAAATACAGAGTGCACTTATGTAACAAAGGAAGTTGACAGTGTGATAAAGAAAGCACAGAACAAAGCACAATAAACAGAAGAACAATGACAAGGAATCCGAAAGTACTTACAAAGGTGATCTGATTCAGTCCCCCCTTTGATTATAGGAACAATACAAACGGTAAGCATAAAGGGTGTGTACAATGTTGCATTCATTTGGAGAGTCCTTGTGGACACGCATGGAAAGGCAAGGACTGGATTTAATAAACCAGCTGTCTTATCCCACTGCCATGAGAATCTGCCTTACCAAACGTTCGTGTGGATGCAGGCTACAGTAGCTGCTAGACTGTGGAATATGAGAAGAATTGCCCAGCATCCCTCCGTAGCCAGGCTGATTCATCCCACTGGAGGAGCTCCAAGGGTCACTGCTGTGATGGCCATCTGGAAAGGACAAAGGAAACCGTGACTTCTCTGAGGCCTTCAGCCTTGCTCAACAGAATAGAGGTTTTTCATATACTTGAAAATGGCTGCCTCTTGTGCATTCATCTTTGTGTCAGTTAACTGGTTACATCAGAAAAAAAAGTCATCATTATTTCCCCCCAAATGACTCTATATTGCTAAAACAAACATGAATAGTTAACATAGTAAAATGTTTTTAGTAAAAAGCCAACGGCAAAAGAAAAATATTTCCACATAGAATGATGTTAAGACAGCAGGGTACCTAATGCTAAAGGCAACATTTCTGAAAGCTATTCTGATCCCCCTTTCTATGAAAACTAACCAAAAAGTTAAACTGTTCCTAAATGCTGGGGTAAAAATAAAATACGTGAGACATTACAAAATTGGCATGTCTACAAGTTTAAAAAGTACATAAAGAAACAAGTTATAATGAAAAACAACATCTCGCATTTAAGGCTGAATCTCATTTTTGTAACAGATACAGTAGATAGAATTAAAGTTGCAATTACATTATGACATATAGGAAAGAGGAGTCTTGAATATATCATTCTGAGTTTTTATTTCCTTTGAAAATATTTTTTGATATATAGATATATGGTTATCTCAAGACTTCAGTAGCAATTCAAAGAGTACACACATATTATAAGATGGATACCATGCTACAGTCAATCTTGGGAGACTGAATGTTACACAACTATCTAATGTTTAAAAGAGATTTAAGATAATATGAAAACTATATAAAGTATCTTTTTATATCAAGTTAATTTTTTTTGAATATCATATTAAAAACATTCCTATAGATTCTCTGGGTCTATTGGCCTAGAGGTTACTATGGGAGATTGGTTTTGTTTGCTTTAGGTTTCTCAAATTAGGGGGGAAGAACCCATGTTACTGCTGGTTCTTTCAAGTTTTCCTTCTGTCATGTTTGATAAAAATCACTGAGTGCCAGATATATACCATGCCACTAGCTAGGTGTTAACTATATGGCAGGTATTGCTTTGTGAAAATAGGATTATTCACACCAGCCTTTGAAAATTTAGGCAATAGGCAAGTTAAATCTAACACTGTGTCTCATGAGGCTTCTTTTTTCTCTCTGAGATTTTAAACTTAGAAGTTAGAATTCAGAAAACTGGAATAGTTTCAGGACAGAAAGGAATAATCTATAGATTTCTTAAGAACTATGCAAGCAAAATCATGTCTGTGATCTTGATAATTTAGGAATTGTAACTAGAAGATGGAAATTAAAGTTAAAAATAAGAGGCTGCACAGTAGTAGGTTTAAAATATGCCTCTGACAGTCTCTGAATATCTTTCCCCTCAACAGCATGTTTCTCCAAGGCCTGATTCCCGGGACCGGGCGCCCCTCACTGAAGAAAGCCGATGTGTAATGGGGCCACAATGCACTGTGTCTGGGATGGTAATGTGAAAACCTAAGACTTTCAGAAAGTTACTCTTCATCTACTTTAGATTTAGCCCTCAGATTGAGGAAGTTTAGATGTCACACATGAAGTTCAGGACCACTAACTTTTCAAGTAGATGGCATATATGACAAATAAATTGAAAATATATATCATTAAAAAGGACACTTTTGAAACATTTTGACAACATGAAGACACTCTATGGAAATACATTTAGGATTTGTTAACACAGAACACTCAACCCAATGTAGCTTATAAAAATACGTATTTTACATAAATTATGCTTTTCACAGTAAATTAATATTTATCACATCCCATGATCTTGGCATAATGTTGTTTTGAAAGAATAGAATTAGACATGTGCAAATTAATTGTGCTCATCATAAATGTCAACTCAAAAAAATATTTCTGGTGTTGTGGGTATTCAAATGCAGAAAAGAGAATTGCTCCCCATACTCTGCATGGTCTGCAGGAACCATGCAGAGTATGGGGAGTTAACAGAATAGAGGTTTTTCATATACTTGAAAATGGCTGCCTCTTGTGCATTCATCTTTTTTTAAACTACCCCATCTCCTCTGCTGTGTGCAGCTTAAACAAGCCACCTTTGTGAAGGCCGGCAGACGCAGCCTATCCTTCTGTCAATGTTCTCCATGAAAATCTGCTTTGAGCGATGAATCCTTGAGATGACAATCTTTGTAAGCACCAATAGCAGGACTAACCACAAAAGAAGGGGCTGATTCCCAATTGCATGCATGGCTGCTTTTTATAGCGGAAGGGGAGGAGCCTTTTGTAAGGGCACAGAACATACCCAAGTGACACGCCCCGGGGTGTTCCTGTGAGAGTTACACCTAGGACAGGTCACAAAGATCAAGGATCCCTGTGAACATGAGCTCCATGATGCATGGAACAAATTCTCTCTATTCCTGGGGGACCCATCCGATTCAATTTTATAGAGTTTCCGTGGAATTTTACAAGTGAGCTAATCACCTAAAAGAGCTAACACTCTGAAGGGAAAGAAAATAAATCCATTTTAATCAGAACGATGTTGAGTGTGTCCACTGTAATCGAAGTGAGACACAGGCCGCTCCCCTGGTACCTGCTGCCCAAAGGAGGCTCCCCCTGTGGCGACAGGGCCCTTCCTAGAGCAGCCCAGGAAGGAAACCTCATGGCACCTGCCAAAGACACACTCCAACAAGGCTTTCACAGCCCGGCAGGAAGAGTTAAAGTTCTACGCACAGAGGATCTCGGTCAACCCCAAACCTGAATTTCAGAGTATTTACTTGGTAATTTGATCACTGCAACGTGGCAGTAAGTGTCTCAGACATATCAGGAATGGAGCTTAGCTGCATCCTCCAAACCCTATTCTTACAGCAGCTGCTGTCATTTCAACCATCTTCGTCTTTTTTTCCAAGCAGTAGACAGGGGCTGTGCTATCAATGGCAAGACTCTAAGCTCAGAGCCCACACATCCATGGTAATTTAGTCAAAGACGCTGGCCAGTTAGAAAAAGAAATATATTTTAGCAACCACAAAGCTGTAATATTCTGCATTTGTCGGGGAAGAAAATTGGGTAGGTTTTGCCCTATATCAGTTAGCGTGCTGAATAAAGCATTGGCCGTGATAAAAATAACATTCCAGTTTTCAAGTAGGTCACTTCATTGATCCAAAGGAGATGCTTGTTCTTACCCATGAAACAATATGTAGCTAAAATTTTAATATAAAGTTATTTATAATAACAAGTTGTCCCCAGGTGTGCTAAGTCCAGATTGCTCAAAATATACACTGAATCCAAACACTTCAAAACATACACACACACACACACACACACACACACACACACACACACACACACACACCCTTCTTGAGGGTGAAGATGTTGGAATGATTAGTCAAGGAAGACCATCCTCCAAGACACTGGTTCTTAGTAAAGTAAACCAGTCTAATCTTAACTCCTTTTTGCTCCAGGGGCTTTCATCTAAAAAACAGATCTTAGCAAAGTCTTAAGTAGTTTGTAATGAATGCATGACCGTCGGATTTCTATACTTGTCTACTAGTCCATCTTCTTGAGTATCAGCTCAGCAGTCATCTGCCCTGTCCAAGGCATGACAAGACCCAGGAAGACTTTTCGCAATGGATTTCTGGTTAGAGGAAGAGACAGCTTACCTTGCATGAAGAAGGAGCTAGGGAAAGTGCTGGCTGCTGGTTTTGAGGAAGGGTAGCCTGGCGAGTCCCTATTGTAGTCGGCAGTGCTTGCTGATGGAGCATAAACCTGAGGAAGGAGAGAGAGGCAATTTAGTTTGGTTGGCTGCACTGACCAATGCATTCAAGGTCCATAACTCTATAAGAGGCAGGCCCACAGTGCTAAATTTCTGCCAGGTGCATTCTCAGTCTGATGAAGGCCAAGGGACACTGCTCCTTTCAGGAAAACAAAAGACAAGGCCTTGCCCCCCAATGCTCAGTATATTTGTGTGAATGGGAGACTGGGTGTGATATTTTTCAAGTCACAGGCAAGAAACATCAAGTTATAAATATGTTATCCAATACCAACATGATGATCCTGGGAGTTTAAATATCCTTTCTCTTTAAAAGCAGAGTTGGCCCAAGAGCACAGGAAAGGTAAAGACAGAAAGACATGCACCAAGCTTCTCCGGTTTAAAAAAAAAAAAGTTTAACTTTTCAATTGCAGTTGGCATTCAGTATTTTAATAGTTTCAGGTGTACAGCACAGTGGTTAGACATTTATATAACTTATTAGGCTTCTCCCCTTTTATTCTACCTTTCAATGAAAATTTTCACTTTTGAGAAGAGAAAAATATCTAATTCAAACTAAAGAAAGTGACAAATATATCTTTGATTATTCTTCCTATAATATTGTGCCCACTTTCTGCAGAGATGCATGAACAAGGCCACTAAGAGCCAGGTCTACACAGACCAGCAACAATCCGTGTGCAAAGACGAGGGGTAAGCCCTCCTTTGTAGTTCTTACTATATTTCTGTGTGCAGTTAACTTTAAAAGTGTGCCCCAATCCCAATTTGCTTACATTTGTTTACTAATACTCATGAGATCTGGGAAACTGGGCCTTTATAAAAATAACCTATGTATTTTTCTCTTTGTTTTCCTTAAAGACGACAGCATACTGGAAAGGCATAAATTCATAAGGTACAGTTTAACTGTAATTGATTTTCCCCTTGCCTTTCTTTTTTTTTTTTTTTCTAAATATAATTTTTAAAATCCCCATCTTCTTTTTCTCCAGAAGTTCCTCTCTCCAGATGGTGGGAGACGGAGCCCTGTCGTCCTCCCGAGGAAACGGATACCTTCCTCCTCCATTTTGAAGCAGCAGCGCTCACAAAAATTGGCAGCGAGCCCATGTTAGAATCACAGGTCACAGTACAAGAAAGAGAAATTCGCCAATAAAAAGGCAACGGCAGGGTTACCAGAAAAATAAAATAAGCACTCCCCCTTTTATTTTTACAGCACACATCAAATAAACACCCTACGCAAAATTATATAATTGCTCTCAGAACACTATGAATCACAAACTAAGTATTAATATAAGGTTTAGGATTTCACAAAGGATAGGTCCACAGAGACAGATGTGGAAAAATATGCATACAACATACGTACATCAAATAAATGCTACATATGCCCCACAGTGCCCTTGAAAATTAGGAGGTCCTGGAGGATTGAACAAAACAAAAACAAAATAGAAAAACCGATGTGCACTTTAGAAAATAAGGATTTTTCTTGTGTCATGGTGGAACAGAAGCCCTATATTTCACAAGATAATTTTCATTTTATTTTTAAATGTTCTTCATATTTTAAATATATAAATAGCTATTGTCTTCTATTTTCAAAGAGCTTACAATAAGGAGGGGATTTTTTCAAATATCTTTAAGGGACAAAAATAAAATGTAAGCCAGGAATCCCCAAACAAATCAATACTCTCAGTTCTGCAAAGCAAAACCCAGCATTTTCTTGAGAACTATACAATTAATAGTTTCAAAATATTCCTAAATGTATTCAGAGAAGGTCTTAAATGTAGGCTAAAAAGATAAAAGAAAACATTACCTTCTAGAAAAGGGGGAAATTGAAAATTAGATCATCTCATTCTAAGAAGAATATGAGCATAATAGGACTATAATATATCTATCTACAGGCTATTAGCCTGACAGTTTTTTGGCCAGCCAGTGTTAATATATAGTACTAAGTGTTATCACCAAATTTCAGAAATTGATATATTTACTATAAAACTGAAAATAAACTCTAACTCATTATTAAACCGTATTTTAAAATAATGGAAATAACTCACTTTAAGATAATAGTTGAGTTTAATCATATATTTCACTACATTATCCTTAAATATGTACTATGTAATAATAACATTATTATTATTTCCCTCCTGATTTGGATAGAATTATTTGCTATTTCTTTTGTGAAATAAGGTAAAAACTTAGGTAAATTTGTTCATGTATAAGGACGTTACATTGATTACAAATTAAGATCAAGCTTAAAGATCTGTGGGTAAGATCATTTACTCCAAATTCATAAATGCTATCTGCATGAAAAAGAATATCTATGTGGTTAAAAAATTCTTCCAATTTGTTTTTCTGGTATTGTAGCCAAATTAAGACTCTTTAGACAAGAGAAAAATCTTTGTTAACAAGAAATGAACCATTGTTTAATGGCTTAAAAAAAAGGCAATTTATGCATATTTTATAAATTTTCTTTACATCATAATGTAAAGATCAGGTATATGTCATTTGCAAACTTCATACTTGTCACTGCAATAGTTATAAGTGCTCTATTTTATACAAATAAATATCAGACAGGACTGTTACACTTTTAAAAGTAGAAGAAACTAAACATTATTTATTTTAACTATAAGAAAATTCAATAGAGAAATGGTCAAAGCAACTGCTAATGATATGTGACTTAATCAAACTGCACCACTATCAACTGCTCTTTATTTTCCATTCTTTAAAGATTACTTTCTTTAAAAATGGAGACAGAGGTATCAGATAATATAGGTGAAAACAGAGTGACCATAATGTTCATACTTCAGTTATCCTTTATGCTTTCATCTTTAACAACCTAGATGATCAGTGAGCTGCTTCATTATTTTTAGTTCAGTCAACTATTTTTGCCAATTTCTCAACCAAGAGGACAAGTTTCAATAGGTGTTCACTAGAGATTCAATAAGAAAAACTCATATCATTTAATTTTAATTATTACTATTCTATGAAAATAAAAAAATGATGTAAATATTTGTTAAAAAATAACTTTTTACTTAACAAAACAGTAACAAACATCAAATATCTGAAATCATTTTTAATGACTAACATCAGAAAATTAGATCAATAAAAAATAGAATTAAAATCTTAAACTCTAGTTCAATATATTGAAGTGACTCCACTAATGTCACATGAGGAAAGGCTAAAGGGAAACAAAAATCTACATTTAGTTTTTCTCTGATTAGCTTAGATCAAGGTGACTTTTGGCATTCCAATTCCTCCCATAAGAGTGACTGAAGAAGTGAGAAATTTTTGTTGCAAAATTGTGAGTGGGGAGACTTGGCCAAAGCTTATAGCAACAGCCTTTTAATGAACTATTTGTTGAATAAAAGCTTCATGGAAAACCAATAGCAAAGTATAGTTAATATTCAAAGTAAACACTACATCTTTTCCTTACAATCCTTAATTTAAATCAAAACCATGCATATAAAAATCCTGAGTTTAACAAAGCTCTCTAGATAAGATTAGACTCAGAACTGGTAAAAATAACAAATATTTTCATATTTAATTTTTGTTGCACCTGGAGAGATATTACTATTGTACATTAGCTATTTCATCCAATGGTTCTGACTATCCTTTGTGCACATGCTTTTAACCAGAACCTCTGCCTATTAGAAAAGAAGAAAAACTAAGCAAATAAATAAACAAACAAACAAACAAACACATAAATAAATAAATAAAAAATGAAGGGAGTAGCAGTTCCTACTTTTTATAAATTGAAATTTATAATGGTCAATACAAGGCTTATTTATTTGGCCATGGTTTGTAGAAATATTCTTATGGGATCTCATAAGAAATATTCTTATGGGATCTCATAAGAAAATAAGATATGATATGGTATATTCAGAGTGAAACTAGAATATGTTAATGGTATTAGTCTCCTGAAATGGGAAGCTAAACTGAGATCAAGTGAAGTGGCTACAGCTCATGTATAATGGGTGACAGACAGTGAATTACACCATACACCTTTAAAATTACTACCTCTGTGAGATTCTACACATATCTGAACATACAATTTCCAAAGAGAATCAGTTCAGAGTAACTAAGATATTGTGATCAAAACTTTCAGACTCTTAGAGAGTTGTTATATGCTCCCTGATGAGTAGAAAAGAGCAAAGCAGAATCATGCCTCAGATTCCCAAGTGCAGGTGAAGCTCACTTAGCAGCTCAGACTGTGGGAGATTTCACAAATATTCTGAAGTGTGGCAGTTAAACACTCAAATGCCAAGAGTTTGTAGTGTGCGCCTGATGTTTTCGGACCGAGGCATAGCTTTGAAGCTTCCTAGCATGTAATGGGGAAAAGTACTTGGATGATCAGCTCACGCTACTCAGGCAACAAACTGGACTGGACCTTCAACTCTTACAATACTGTTTGAAGGACATGGGTCACAATGAGAGAAAAGAATGGCCCACGTGCTGAAGGTGGAAAATGGACACTGTAATTGTTCTATGTGATCAAGTTAAAGATACTAGTATATTGCTAGCTGATCCATAAAGCGAGGGAAAGATGTACTTAAAAGAGACAGTCTCCCGGTAATACAGAAACAGGTTTGGCAGGATAGGAGAAACTACCCAACTCCGGAACCAGGTCAACTCTTTTCAAACTCCAGCTCTCACAATTAGTTGTGAGGACAAAACAAAGCAATTTATCTCTCAGAGCCTCAAGTTTCCTTTGTCAAATGAGGCTATCCTATTCTTATTGTGAGGATTAGAGATATCTAATAATTCAGCATTATTACTAATATATTGTAGTCACTCCATAAATGAGAGTATTATTTATATCTTGTTGTATTATAAGTGCTACTTATTGCTTATAGATTAATTAAAATTAAGTAAACTAAAATAATTAGTTCTTTGGTCACAGTAGCCACATTTCAAGTGCTCAACTGGCCACTGGCCATCACACTGGACGTCACCAACACAGAACTTCCCACCATGGCAGCAATATTATTGGAAGTGCTGGTCCAGAGACATGCTT